GTACTCATCAGAACCAAGTCCACATATAAGGATTTTCTTAGTCTTTGCATTCTTCTCCGTCATTCTGAAATCTACTGCCATAAATTTGGAAGGGTCCTTAGGAACTGTTTCATTTTGTGCATTTTGTTTAGTAGGAATCAAAGGACCTTGGTTCACTATGGTCCATATTTCATAATCTTCAGATGTCAGGAAGTCTTCCATTCTTGCTTTCCACCAACTGTAATATTTTTCATTGAACATAGGTGGTCTCGTAGTTAATTGTCCTTCATTAGTTCCGGGTGGAGCACTCATCTTGCTTCCAAGATCTCTCTAGGTATTAGCCGCGTAAATGAGAGAACCTGCTCTGATACCAATTGTTAGTTTGAGTGCCCGTATGGATTACTAAAGAACTTGGTTCTTTACCGTGCGTAAAGTAAACAAGCAATAAAATGAACACATCGATTTTTACGTGGAAAATCACTCGGCTCAAAAGGTGCAAAAACCACGGTCTACCGCATCGAATTTTTAACTCCAACTCTACTAGAACAATGAGCCAAAATATATCAATTACAAGACTGTAATTAGATACTCTCAAGTACTCCTACTACTCCTATTTGATTCACAAGTTACTCTAACTTGTAAAGCAAAATACTCATTCCAATTCACTCATTGTTTATGACACTTGATTACAACTTAATTTCCTAAAATATATTCACTAGACTGATTCGGGAAGGATACAAGGCAAGTACTCAACACAAGTAAACAACTTATGACTCTTAGTTGATGTGTAAAAGGATAGTTCAGAAATCCAAAATCGATCCTATTTAAAACACAACTTGAGGTCTTCTAGGAGTCCTATTCATAGTCAGTTTCCTCTTTGATAGGATTCCTACTGTTCTAAGGATTCCACAAGTTTTGGGACTTTAGTCTCTAACTAAATTATCCATATCTTCTTGAGCAACGACCCTTATCACTTATAGTAGCCATCTTCCACCAAACTCAGACCTGGGTAACTTTGAGATAAAGTCACTGCCTTATATAGACGTATAAGTATCACTCATGAGGAGCTGATTCTTTCTCCTGAGGAGTTGGTTCTTCAGATTAGTTAAGCAGCTACGTTGAGGACTTGATTCTTTGAACATTTAGTCATACTTTGTTAATCATCAAAATTTCAATACTTAACACACCCAATATTGGCAAAAAATACCATCGCGTTACTGAATAGAATTTGGGGAATGAAACTGGGATTGACATTTCCAATTTGTTATTTGTCAAAGACCACTTTCTGAAGACAGCTTTACATTGCAAAATTATGTTGTTTCCCACCTGTGTCCATTTTTCCCTGACAAGATTTGTGGACAATTCAGTTGCTTCCGAAGATATATAAAAATAAGAAGTCTTAAAGTAGAAGAAAGATAAAAGCACTATAGAGAGTCCAAGCATTATCCCCCGCAAGACAAAATTAAAAGCAGCGAAATAGCTTACCTATCAGCACAACTCTTTGAAGTACTTTTTCCAAATCAAACGAGAGAGATTTCAAATTTGAGAAACGAACAATGCTAACTTATCCTCATTCCAAAATCAAGAGTATAGGGATTTCTAAATGAATTCTTAGGGAAACTTAATGCTCTAACTCAACTTTCTGAATTGGCATACATTGAGACGAGTGTACCTGATATAGAGATTAGAGAGGGATTTCAAGAGTTTGTTCTGTCAACTATATACATTTTTTACGCTCTCATGTTAAGTTAAGCTATAAGATAATATGTAATTTTTCTTAGCAAGTTTGCTTATATGATAATCTTAGAAATAAAATGAAACAACCCGCTATGTCAAGTTAAATTGCACTAGTAGGATTTAAGTTATATATATCGACAATGAAAGAATATTTATACTATTAATGTAGTTTTACATGTGATAGCAAGTTACCATTTTTTACTAAGTTCCCAATTAATGTTTTCGCCTCGTTTGGCCATAGATTTTGCCAAATTATTTTTCAAATTGTTTTTGACAAATACTTGTTTGTTTATAGATTTTATCCATATTTTGGCAAATTTTCAAATCCCAAAACCAACTCAAGAGTTATTTTTGGCCTAAAATATTACCGTTTGGTTTTTTAAAAAAATTCAAAAATTGCCCTAAACCTTTGTATTTTATAAAAAAAAAAGCCCACTTTCTGTTATTATGATCCAACTAATCCATATTTACCCACTTTCTCCTCATTAAACTCACGCGGCTTTGCCCTTCTCTATAAACAGAAGAAAACCTTCGCCAAAGTTGTTGTACCAATCTGTGGCAATCCACCACAAAGACAAAATTTGAAGTAATTTGCTAAAATCTGCTAATGTTTGTATAAATTTTCTTCAGATTTGTTTCGCTTGTTTTGCATGAATTTTCTTCAGAGTTGTTGGGTATTTTTGATAGTTTTTAAAACTTATGGGTATAAGTCACATTTCATGTTTTTTCAAAAAAAATGAAATAAGTTTTGAAAAATTATATCCAAACATATTTTCATCTTCAAACCAAACTTCACCCAAATCAGATTTTTTAAAACAAATTTGGAAATCGATAGCCAAACGCTAGCTTCATAAAGATTTATTTATAATTATTTTATATAAAATGCATGATTGTGCAAAAATATTTTACACCATAAAATTTAAACTGATTTTACTAATAATATAAATATTCTTTACACTATCATTGTGCAAAACTTAAATTCTTTAACTATTTGTGTTGTTTTCTTGGAAAATATCCATTATGCCCCTATATAACATCTCTTACTCCATAGATGAATTCGTGTAGAAAATCACATATAATTTAGACTGATATGTTGTTAGCTTAAAGTAGAGATGCCAATTTGCCAAATAAGTTATAACCTGAATTTCTACTACAATTAGCGTGATTCTTTAATGCTTTAACTCCTCAAAATGGAAAGACTTAGGAGTCACACGTTATTGTCTTTTTAGCCTTTCAAATTTAGTTTACAATAAGAGTCACCTATGACAAATCAAGAATGCATTATATCGTTTTTTTTTTTTCAAATTTATCCTTGCTCTAATTAATGACCTAAAATTTTTGAGAAGAGATAGTATATTTGAAGAGATATATAAAGGGAAACTTAATCAAATAACTCTATAATAGATGTTAATTAATAAATAATTTCTTAGCATGTTAAGACCTTAAAGAAAAATAATATAGAAAGGATATAGCAAGGAAGTATATGACTTTTAGTACACTGCGAAGTCCCAACAAAGTGCATTAATAAATGGAAAATTAGCATAAGAATGAGGGATACTAAAGACAGTCAAGATAAGTGATAATTACAGATTAAGCAAAGGTATTAAGCACCGCAAAAGTCTAATAATCACCTTCATTGACTGTGCTCATTAAATATCAAATGGGGGTGTTAATTAATATATGTCTCTCTACTATTGATCCACAATTGTGACATAAGAATATATAAATATATATACATTGGTTTAAACAAATCTGATCGCTAAAACAACTGTCACGTAGGGTAAAGGAAAAGACTCCAATATTAGAAACTCAGATAGCAAAAGAAAACCAACAACTCCCATTTTGAATATGAATTTTAGCCACCAATCGTTCAGTTTCATTCATCTTTAATCTTTCTCTCCGTACGGTAACGATTTATAGACACGTTCGCAATAGCTATTCAATTCGAGGCGAATTCAGAATTTGAAGTTTATGGGTTTCTACAATGACCTCGAGTTAAATATACAATAATAACTGAATTCAGGTCTGCTCCCATATGCTCTCTTATTTTGTTTCTGGAAAACACTTTGATTAAACTAATAATGACAAAAATGTTGAAACGATGTCACGGTAATATTTTCAATTCAATTAGGAAAAACATTCTCCCAAGAAACAACCTGTGAGTGAGACATGGAAAATCTAGTTAACCTATGAGCAGTTTATCTAACTTAGTAACATGTAAAGGAATTTTTTACACTATTAAGCGCTTAAAAATTAATTACTTAGCTTGTAACTGTTCATAATAAGGGGAATTAATAACTTGAAAAATAAAACCGTAAGCTGTTACAATGTTTTAAAATATACCAATAGTGTACAAATTCAATATAATGTCGATGTCAAATACAGTTTCTAATGTCAAGTAGTATGTTCTAACTAATGCTATTCTTGGTTTGAGATACAAGAGGGAGTTACAGAATAAGGTTTAAATTTCTTCTTTATATTCGCATGCATGTCGATTTCTAATTAATTAGTTTGAGAATAAGTAGGGGTTTGTTCATTCATAGACTTTTTACTGTATCAAAATGGTTTCAATCATTAATCTTTAATCGTCTAAACTTTTAAATGATATGGTTCATACTATATAATTCTCCAATTGATTGACGGCCTGCATCATTCCCTTCATACTCAACAATTAAAATCACCACGTAGAAAATACAAAAAGAAAATAAAAATGCTGAAATTTACTCTCACAAACTTGAGAAGTAGACATTCGATACGTTCACTTAACAGTAAATGTCCAAACATGGATTTTTAATATACATAAAAAAAATTATATTCCAGAATAAATATGATTAGACTATTTATAAAGTGTCGGCTGACAAATCCTGTGATTAGTGACATAATTGTAAGTCTGATCATAAGCAGTATCACAAGGATGAAAAGGAAATTACCACATTCTCTGCATCACATCAAAGAAAATTAACCTCTAATAGTAAAAGAAAAAAGTTACGTATATATTTGGCCTCCAAATATACAGTGCACTTTTTCACCCAAATGGATTTTCCAATCATTTTGATAATTCCTTTATTTGGCGGCGGTAACTCGTTAAGTTTCTTCCTAGTTTTTTGCCGGCAGCAGACTTACTATAACTAATTACGGTTAAATGAGAAGAAAAACAGTCACTTCGTGCTTAATATTGTTCTTTTTGTCCTTTAATTCTGGTAAATATTTATTACTTGTCATGCTAATAAAATAAACACATTTAGCTTTTATTTGATAGGAATGTATGCTTTAAGACTTTAATGTACATATTCCTAGGCATTTTACTGGTTCTTGAATGTTAAACGATAACTGTTTGATACTAAAACGGGCCATACATCGAAATTGATGTATCCACGACTTTTACATTGTCAAATAATCCAAAAGATATCAAAAGATATAATCGTAAAATAAGGTAGGAAATTATCTGCAATAGAAACTAAAAATTCTTAAACATATAAAATCACAAGGAACATAAATTTTAGATTGGTCGGGATATGAACCTAAAATTTGAAGATAATGTCCTGGAGTGGGTCCTTATAGACATCCATCTCAGGCTGACTGTAGTCCCTCTCAGGCTCACAATAGTTCTTGACCTCCATCTGCAAATACAGCAAATCATCCTCAGCATGTCCTCAATAGTTATATAAGGACATAACAATTATGCATACAGGAGAATGAGCATCAGAAAATTCTGAATAGCTAGTTAAGTCATCACTGATCAGTTGCATACATTTTTGTCAGATTCATTCAATGAAAATGATGGAAATCAACTGTCAGTTGTTCCCTATATCATTCCTCTGAACACTCAGCTGGTCAATGTGAATCATACCCCTATATCTGCTTAATTAAGTAGCAGCAACAGAAAAAAGGTATGAAGGTTTTTGCGTAACTAATAAATATTGCTATTCTTTTTAGTTTAACTTGTTATAACAGGTTAGTTTCTCCTTGGTAACCAATTTTTACTCACCATAGATAATTACCTTTAAAATGATATGCTAGTGTAGAAAATTTGTACACTAACAAGATATAAAAATTAAGCGCTAATGATTAACAGCACTCATTCTTCGTTCATTATATAAAGGCACAGAATTCTGTCAAATATATCATGTATTACTAGGAGTAAGCAACATCCAAGACGTACCTTTCGAATCGCTTTTATGGCGGTCAAAAGATTTTCACTCATCACTTCTGTAAACAATGTATCTTCCGCTAAAGCAATTAAAGATTCAGAAATAGAATCTGGTACACTTCGAAGCTTCTCACCACAGACATCAGAATCTCCTTCTGTTTTACGAGAAAACATCATTGGAATATCAGGTAACAGTGCAAGAATATCTCAACTATGGACATGGAAATTGAGTTATCAACTTCTGTATTACTCACTTTGATAATGATAAGCATTAGCAAGAAAAAGGCACTGGAAAAGGCAACTCAGACTTTCACTTACTAGCAGAACAACACTAATGGCCCTAATAAGATTTTATCGTAAAGGCATTCATGGAAGTAGCATTCCACGTGCTTTTGAGTGTACAACAATTGATGGATTAAAAGCTATAAAATCGACAGAAGGGATTGGGGAACTCTTCGTGGAACCTCTAGAAGGAGAAGCTTTCAAATAATAGCATACTAATAATAATAAAAGTGAAATATGTAGCAAGTAGCAACTATTTAATGGCTAATCACCTAATAATCTAGAAATCTAAGCTATGCCAAACTCCACCTAGATCAAAGACTCTATCTTGATCAAAATTTATGATCACTTGTCCTACATCATTCAACCCCAGCAAAAATGAACTTGTCATCGAGTTAACCTGCGGATATAGCAGTGCATTTGAAAGATGACACTCTATCAAACCAGCACTGCCATCTTTCATACAGATAAGTAAAATTGGCACTACGCAAGAGCTCATACTTTCACAAATATTTGCAGCATGCAACAACCCTATTTACCCTCATAATTTAGTTCTCCTTCAAATTCATTTTGCAATGAGGCAAAATTAGTAAATATCTTGAACTTGTGATGGCTGGACAGAACTAGGAGATCTTGATTTCCTCGATATCCATTTAGCCATAGAAAAGGAAGCTCGAGTTTGAACTGAAAATCTAACAGCGTTATCGTGACTCCACAATTACATCCAATACGAGCATGAGGAGGACCATAAGAGCCATGCTCAAACTCCTTTCTTGAATAACAATTACTATCCAATGCAACACCAGCTTGTGTAACCCATGCAACACATCAGGATCATAACTACGGAATGTTGGAAATGAGGCGAAACATCGTCACAAGCACGCCTAATACTGCAACATTCCTATTTTGCCAACTACAATAGCATAGTCTAGATTGATGCCCTATTATTTAGGTGTTAATTTGGTTAAATTCCCTCAGAAATCGTCAGCCACACATCTCTTGATCAAAATCATTCATTCTCTGATGAAATTGATCATTTCCTGCCCTGATTTCTTTTTATTGTAGCATCCATCACAATCGTTATATATTAGCAATCAGACTAAAGAAAACGAGGCTCTTGTACCACTTGATCGAGAAAAAGCTCTTAAATTAATATAAGGAAAAGAATAACTGGTCCTCAGACCATGAGAAAGAGAGAGAAGACTCAGAATGGAGTTATATTCAATATTAATGAAAATAATTGAAAATGATAAGGTTTTAGCAACTATTTAAAGACAAGATAAGTAAGACCATCAAATTAAGACTCCATATGGATCAAAAGTTTGTACTCACTTTCCTAAATTAAAAATTCTCGATGAAACACTCCAAATTAAGACTCCTCGTTAGTTTCTCTTCTATTTCCTTTTTACTTTTTTTGTTTGTAAGTGAATACTCTAACACTTTGAAAGTAGCTCATAGTAACAGAACCTATTACTGCAACTTATTGTAGAGAGAAGATCCAAACACTAGAAGTAGGTACCATCTTGATTCACATGGTTTGTACTCACAATCTCATCTGCTTTCATTTAGAAGAAGATATGTACAGCAGTGATACACAGAGTCATCCAAAAGGTGAGCAATAGAGGTAGGAAGATTTAAAATGGAAAATGTGGTAGGACTTCGTGCAGATTTAAATTGCCAAACTTTGGTATAGACTACTGATATACTACATTGGACATGCAGCACACTTCAAAATCTTGATTGAGTTGACATCAAATAACATAAATATATAACATAAAAAAGATGTCATGCTGATTAGCCCTCTCATAGTGAACCATCATAACAGATATAATAGGTGTTTCAGGCTTAACCATATAGAATACGGAAAAGAATCTAAAGGCAAGTACATAGTTAGAAGATATAGTGGAGGAAACACTAAAAGATTGTTTAACTCACCTACTGGTTCTGGAAGACTTAAATCTTTTCGCAAGCCGTCAATCCCAGCCATAGTTATAGAAGCAAGACCCAGGTATGGGTTTGCACATGCATCAAATGCTTTAATTTCAAAATGGCTTACAAGATCATCGGCAATTCCCGGAGGGCTAGCAGTTCTCAATGGTGCCTCTGTATTTTCTTTCCCCCAGCAGAGGTAAGCTGCATTTCGTGTCTTAGGTAGCATTCGCTCATAACTGCATGTAATAAATAGTTAGACTCATACAAAATACTTGATAATTTTAAATAATTTTCAATTAATATGCATGCTGTAAATCCATAACATAGAATCACCAAGAGGTTTGAGAAAACAAGAGATTTCAAGGTCTAACTACATTCAAGAGAGAACATAGGAAAGAAAGGCAAAAGGTAAGCTTGTCACATTGCATCAACCACAACAAACCCAGTAAAATCCCACAAGTGGGGTCTGGAGAGGGTAGTGTGTAAGCAGACCTTACCCCTACCCCTACCCCTACCTTTATGAAGGTAGAGAGGTTGTTTCATGAAGACGCTCGGCTCAAGAACAGTAAAAATGAAGCAATAGACAAACAATAGCAACAACAAGGTAATAAGACAATGGTAGCAAATGATACAACGAGTAATAATAAAGGTCCAGGGATACGAAACTGCAAGAATAATGCCAATCCTACTGATAATAATGACACACCGTGTTTTAACAAGGGACTAGGAATAGGAAAATACAAGACTAGTACTAATACTACTGGTAAGACAAGGCGAAACTCTAGACTGTCTGTCAACCCACCACCTTAATTCTCGACCTCCATACCTTCCTATCGAGGGTCATGTCCTCGGTAAGCTAAAGCAGAGTCATGTCCTGCATAATCACCTCACCCCAGTTCTTCTTCGGCCTCCCTCTACCCCTCCTCTGACCCGCTATGTGCAACCTCTCAGCCTCGATTCCCGCAACTTATCTTCCACAGGAGCCACACCCACCTTGTCCCTAATATATTTTGTTAGTTAGTTGTTATGTAAATAAGCATAATCCTACGTGGAATAGGAGTAGCGTAGGTATTGTGTATTATTATAAATAGGGGTACTTGTACTATTGTTAGGGTACATCAATAGAAAAATATTTTCCCGTGTATTATTTCTCACATATTCATTCCTAATCTTGTCTTTCCTGGTATGCCCACACATCCATCTTTAGTTACTTTGTACTACTCCATTAAAAGAAATTTATAGTACTAACATAGTGCCAGAGTTAATGATTCTCAACTTTTAGATTTAAGTTTTTTCACTGTATTCAGCACTTTAGAAAAATTAAACCAACAAGTATCTTAATTGTTAAACCTTTCTGCAATAACCGTCACAGAAATAAGAAATGGAACTAATTCTTATACCTCTATCATTTACTTGCTTTAAGCTCTAAGCTATTTACATCGTATTCCAAAAGGTTCTCTTTCAGAAACAAAAGTTTAATCTTATGAAGGTAACTTCTACTTGAATACTTTCAGGAAATAAAGTATATACACAAAATACCTCGTTCAAACAACTAACACCTTAAAATCAAATTACAATTGTTTTTAGAAATTCTGACAAGACTAATTATCCTAATTGTTCTAGTGATTTCAACTAGAAATACGTTTATTTGGAAGCCCAAAGTGATAATAATATAAACATAAATCCAATTTTTATCTTCAGAACATAGTAGTCGAAGAGAAAATATTGAAAATCTTCAAAAAGGAAATAGAGATTCCATTAAGTATAATTTCATGAAATTATTTTACTTACTCTATCATTTTTTAAGTCTTCAAGAACCTATAAGCCTTCATCATGTAACATTTACTTATTGATACCATAACTTCAAACATATCTGCATTAGTAAACAAATTTTATGGAAAATTGTTCACAATTTAAACATTGAATCAAAACAATAGAGTTTACTTAACAGAAGAACCATTAACATGAATTTAGTAAATCAACTTATTTTAATTTGCATAGAGAGGCTACAATTTTCAAGTTCTCCATTAATGCTGACAAAAGAAATAAAAATGAAAAAGGATGCAGTATAGTTGCTATAAGAGCCAAGGTGGTTGGAGATTCGGCAGAATGTACAGAGAATTTTCTGTTATAAAACTGTGCTCATTTTAAAGAAATAGTACTCCAAAGAAAGCATAAATCAATCTCCAACTAACCAATCAACGATAAATACAAAGTAGAGGTATCAAATGTGTGGTTTGGGCTAAAGTTGGACGGGTTAAAATGGCCTGAATCAATAAATGAGCTCGTCCAAAGTTTGCGGGGATAAAGATGTGTTGGGTCAATTTGGACCAAGTATTGGGTTATAATCCAATCTGCCTATAATTCGTCTAATTACCAAACTAAATTAAAGAGAGGGAAAAATGATTTTTTCTCCTTTATCGTGGCAATATCTAACAGACCGAACCAAAAGAGCTTTCTTTTTCTATGCCTTGACAAGTTTCCTTACGGGTCAATTCGGGTTACCTATATAACGTAAATTGACCCAAGCTTTAGATGGATTAATTTGGATTGTGCCTAAATTGACCCACCAATAAAAAGATTTTCAATCAAATTGAGTAAATTTTGACACCACTAATGTAAAAGAAGCAGGACATTAAGAATTATAGAGAATCTCTAACCTAAGGGGATGTGTTGCAGTAAAAGCTAATATGGCAGGAAGATGATTCAACACCCCAGCCATGAATGCTTCCCCAATCTTGGACATCCCATATTTTGATTCACCAGATGCAATAAAAACATTTTCTCCATTTCTAGACAAACTGATATGAACATGTGATCCAGAGCCATCTTCATCTTCTGCATACCTAGACAAAAGGGCCAAAATGTCACATATTGAGAGGCGTCGTTCAGTTGTAATAATTTCCTGCAGTAGAAATTCTGGAAATGGGGCCTTCCAAGAAATCTCCAAAAGAAAGTACATGAGTACCTTGTACTTGAGAAGTTAATTCAAAAGTAAGGAAAATCTATGGCGGAGAAGTAAAATCAGCAAATAATGCAGAAAGAACACCAGTTATCCTTTTGCTGAATTATTTTGAGGAAAAGAAAACATCATGCATATAACATTATTCCAAAAAGAGTAAACTACATAATATCGCATGTATGTTATCTCGCCTCCTCTAGCTGAGAAACATTTCCATCTTTATTTAGTATCAAAGATACATGTTCTTTTTCCATTTCTCAATATAAATATAGCTCTTCCTAATCACAAGTTTCTCTCAATATGGGGTTTAAAGGGTTGTGAAGGAAAGAAGAGTGATGGAGTTGTTAGTAGATTTTAATTGGAATCAAGTAGGGTACGTGTTAAAAGGCATAACGGGCAAGAAAATTGCTATTGATAAAAACACAACAACTACGGTGTGAATAATTTTTCAACTGCAGAAAAACATGCAAAAACACCAACTGCTTCAAAAGTTAGAGTACTTTGGCATGAGTTACAAAAGATTATGATAAGGGAGACGAAGTGATTAAAAGCCAACACAAGGTGATAGAACCAGTAAGATAAGACTTCAACCAAATTCATGCTTTATCAGAAAGCGAGAACGGGAATAATCTCAACTTCACCACTTAATCAAAAATCCATTGTTCTTAAACAATCCTGACAACATATTAATCCAAAAACAAGCAAAACATCACCAACTGGCTATAGTAAAAGTTTTCTCAATGGTGCACCACTCTTGATGAACAATATTTCACTAGTTCACCACACTTGGTCAGTCAATAAAGTAAAGAAACATCAATAACCACCCTAACAAATACGCACACATGCACGAATCAAAGTAAGAAATGGAAACGCATGAAAAATAAGGTATTAATCTTACTCATTTTTCTTAGTAGTAAGATCATGCATAACACCTCCACCTTATAAAGAAAAATACAAAAGCAGAACTAGAAGATCTATAGTGGTAGCACTCTACAAGAAGCAAAAGCATGTCTGGATCAACAACTATAACAAAGATTTAAGTTACAAGCTCATAGTGCAAAGAAATTATACACTATTAGTGTAATTGAACCGGTTATAGCAGATAGCTAATTTACCATATTTTAGGTTATCAATCAGTACTTGTTATTGCAAATTAATTATTAATATTTTTTAACTGATATGATTGTATAAAACTCATTATATTTTTCATCATCAGAGCATACAACTTAAATCTAGAAAGGGAAATGCACCTAAAAGTGTTGTCGGCAATTCTGCTACCTACTTTGGAACAAAAGTTGCCAGCAGCCCGTGTTGCCTTGCAACTGATCTGATGACTTCACGTGCATAAATTAAGCTAGCAATTGCTGTACCAGCCTCCGTGTATCCCAGGACGATTTCAAACTGACCTTTCCCAGTTTCCGCATGTAGCTGCAAATTTGAAGGAGACAAAAATAAGGGGAGCATTCTTTATTGAACTGAAAAATTGCATAAGAGAAAACATATGGGTTATTTCTGTCTTATTGCGGGTAAAACATAAAAACATATGTAGCTTATATTCCAGACAGTGCATTCATGATATTTATATCTATGTAACTATGAATAAATGTGTCACATGAAACATGCTATTCTTTTTCCCTTTTATTCCTTTTATTAGGGTCTAGAGGTGGTTGATGTTGTTCATGAAGTAATTATCCTTGTAAACCATGACAATATTCAAAACATTAATTCTTTTTAGATATGCATTCACATGTTATCTGGACAGGAGATACATTCTTTTCTCTTTCTGCATGAGTTCTAATTAACTAGTTTCATTGTCTACTTTACTCGTGAATGCTCATATCTTGATTCAAAAACATTATTATCCAATCTACATTCTTCTTCAACTCATTCAAAAACCACGGCTGGTGATGTGCAGCTTTTCTATGATCATCTAGAATGCTACAATGACACAGATTGGGTAGCTTGTCCCTCAATTGATATCCTACCTCTACCTCAGCACTTTTTTTCTCTTGAATCCAGTTCTAAAGCGCTCTCTCTATATATACATATATAACACATACTGCTACTGGGAGGTGGATTCTCTTCTTCTCGTACAACTTTGATCTATTTCTACTATTACCATGGCAATATTAGTATCATTTATCTATCTCATGTTCTTGCACAACAAGCTCATACCAAGTATAGATGTCTTGAAACAGTTACTTCTGGAGATTTATAAGTTCGATATGTTCCTACAAACAATCAACTTTAATTTGTTAGCAAAGACTCTTCTCTTGCTGAGATCGTTAATGTTGTATCAAAAGCTCTGTGTTCTTCCATAGCCTAGTCTCTTTGAATGTATTGTTTCAGTATAAATATATTACTGTACACGTAGTTCTATCATTAAGAAATATACTGTTACATTACATAAGCGGTCCAGCTTTTTCATGAAAATAAATAGAGAAATGCATGTTAAAATCACCTAGTATATGCAGTACTGCGTGCATAGACGACATGAGAAACATCAATTTGCAAGCAAACATTCAAGGAAATGCAAAACTTACCTGTTCAACTGAAATATTCATTGTTTGAAGATGTGTGTTGATATCTTCCAATATAGAGGATGCAACATCAAATGCTGATGTAGAGCAGTAAGAGGTCTTATCAATTGGCACCCAATCTTCTTTGCTGTTCCTTTATAATTTTGTTTATACAAATTTAGTGTAACATTTTAAAGATGAGAAACTCTAAAACAAAATACCTACCTCATCACACTCTTCAAAAGGTAAAATTCAATTTCAAAGCCGGCATTCACAACCTGAAACATGTAGATATGCATCAGATCAAAAGATATTAGACATGCCAAGTAAGACTTTCTAATTCTTGCACAAAAGATATTAGACATACCAAGTCAAATTCATCTTTTAATATTTTAGAGACTTTCCGAAACACTTCTCTTGGACAATATTCCCATGGTTTACCAGGTTTAATTACCATGTCAGCTAAGCACATTTCCTGCTTCTTTTCCCTGGATCAAAAGATGCAACTAAACATGATTACTATGTTTCTGCCATTGAAACAATAATGGCAGGAAAAATTAAATTCAGACCAAGTTACGATTTAACTCGTTATCTCAATTGAACTTCGTCACACAGTGATCTATACATTCAGATAATAAACAACGAAACAGTTGGGCATCAATGTCTGTATAATTCTAGACAAATCAACTACAAGATACTCTGTATTGGTGTTCTCTGTGTTTCCTTCACATTCTTAAAATATATCACATGATAGTATCATTTAAAAAAACAAAAGCATCAGTTTTTCATACTTTACAATTAGACAGCTCTTGCATAATTGAATTTAGTAACATCTAGAAAAAATAAATTGGAAGGGTGATAATATGGAGGCTGTGGAGCAAGTGATAATGGAATCATGAACCACCGAAAACATATACTAGTCTAAAAAGAACAAAATTTGATGTTTTAGAGCTGAAAAAGGAGAAACTCTTCTATGCTGGAAAATGATTTGTTGGGATGATATATATCCAGATTTTCTCTTTGATTATTGTTTTTTTTTTCTCTTTTCCTCTATTATCCGCATAATTTTAGAATATACTCAATAATGTTATCTCAAATCCTATTTAGTTTCACTCCATTATACTAAACTTTCTGTTAGTGACTGTGTAACTGACTACATACCATATGTTTAACTCTTAATCAATTTCACTATAACCAATACTTAGACATTATTGTCAACCTTTAACACCCAAACATATCCAAAATATTATTCTCATAACACATCCGACACCTAGTACAATTGCTATATGTCAACTACTTTTTCATACTCAACCAAACATAGAAAATGATCCTGAAAATGATTTTCTAAGAGTTACAACAATGCACGAACTTGAACAAAGTTCGGTATTGTTTCTGAGAAGACAGCACAGATAAACGAAAGCGGTCTTATCATATGATTTATCAAGGAAAACTATAAAGACAACCTACAACATACATTAAAATCAAGTATTTATAAAAGGGTTTCAAGTAGTACCAAGGGATTCTGCATCTGGTAGATAAATCAGGAATAATTCTGATCATGCCCGTATAGGTGAGACCAGAATCCTCTGCAGGAGCATTAGATACTGAACTGAGTGCTGCTAAACATGCAGGACTTAACCCTATACCATGCTCTTTCACAAATCCGAGGCGTTCTTTTGGAATTACCTGCACAAAATTCAACAAATGTCAGAAGCCTCTTTCTCTCAATGACTGAAAAACTAAACTGATTCTCCAATGCATTAGTTTTCACTTTTCAGCAATTTCGCCGTCAAATTAGACCGTTTACCCAGTAACCGGGATGAGTCCGCCGTCAAAATCCCAGCATCGGCACGTGATGTCATCTCCGTCGAAAGAACATTCTAGAATTCACCCTAAGTCTGGTTCTTTCTTCTTTTCCTCTTCTTTCTCATTGTGCGAAGAAATCTCTATTTCGTGTTTTCTGCTTTTAATTAGACTACGTTTACCTATCACTCTTTTACACATTTCTTAAAAAAAATAATTTAATGAAATTAATTTTGGTTATTCTTAATCATAATTTAAATTTATTACTACTATTTATACTATTTATTACTTACACGACATTAATTTTTCTTCACATTTATTAAAATAGGAGCAAAATTAGAAAAAATAAATCAACTGGTGTCTCTGATCAGATATCTTGTAACAAAAAAAATTCTCTCGACATTCCCCTTTAGTCCAGGTGCTATTCCACAGTTAAGTTAGCTAAAGATAGAAAAAATAGCTAAACGAATAGATGGGGCTCTTCTTTTCATTCAACTTTAGTATTTTTTGCCATCAAAATATCCAATTTAATTTGGGTCTAGAGAATATAATGTGTATGTAGAGCTTACCCTTATATGTAGGAAGGCAGACTAACTGTTTCCGGTAGTCGAGAAAAATACGAACCACACGGCCGAATATGAATCGTATCAACTTGAGATATACACATGTACCTCTTTCGTTAAACAGAGCACAATTATACTTGAAATTATTCACTCAGACATATGGGAATCAAATCGAGTTAGTATTAATTTCAGCTTTTAATACCTGTTTGACGAAATTCATAGTCAATTCAGTAACATTAAATAATTGTAATCTCCAACATTAATTCATCCGTAATCTTAAAGAAGAAGAAGTTAATATAAAAGCACAAGGTAATTGAAAGCTTACACGACATCTATGTATCCCAGAATTATCAATCCAAAGAATGCGAACAAAGGGAACAGCCTTCAACGGTTCATCTGGGTAAATGGAATTGTATTCGTCAGACGAGGAACCAATGGTGGAGTCTGATCTGTTCATTTTTGCAATCTTGATTTTTTTTATACTTTATAATATTATGCCCTTTAAACAATTGTAAATGGCCTGAAATTTTCCTAATTGCCAGTCTCAGCACCAAACTAAAGTCTGTTCAGATTTTCAGTTTGTTGAGATTTTTGCTTTTTTGTTATCAGCTTGTTGAGTTCCCTCTAGCACTTTGCATGCATGCACGTGTGTAGATATTTACAGTGTTGACTGATTCCTCCCCCTATTTTCTGTTATACATTGCTTATTTGTTTGGATGAGCTTCAAATTCGTTACATTAGTACACTTGTTTGTAAATAAGTTACTTTGTGAACAAATTTGTGGTTGAGTGACATCGTCTGAATAGCTCAATTTTAATTGATCCTCTATTGAACTTGAATATCTTAATTTGTTTTTTTAACCTAAACATATACTTAAGTATTATTTTACTATTAGTTTTTGATTTTCTGCACTCCCTCCGTCTCGTTTTGTATAAATATGTTTGACTAAGTACAATATTTAATACAACAACAATAATATACCCAGTGTATTCTCACAATATGAGGTATGAGGAAGATAGTGTGTACGTAAATCTTTCTCCTACCTTGTGGAAGTAAAGAAGTTGTTTTTGACATATCGAATATAAAATTTAAGAAAAAAATATATTTTTGAAACTTGTAGTGTTAAACAAATAAAAATATTTTATAGTATTAATAATAAAATGAGAAGTTTAAATTAAATTATTTTTATTAATATATTTTTAAATAAAAATGAAAAGAAATTGTGTCACGTGAGAGTAACACGTTCTATTTAACTTCTTACTTTTCATATCATAGAAATTAAGATTATCGCGCGGGGTCCGGCTACTGGGGCGCGGCTTTCAAAATTCTGTTACCGTAGCCGTTGCTCCGCCTCTTTTCTCCGCTGCAACCCGTAGCCGTCGACCTTTACCGCCGTCGAACATCCATATCTCCAACGACCGCCGGATCCTATAGATACATAATTACATATCATCAATCTACACACAAATTAAATGGATGTTCTCCGTTTTAATTCCGTAAAGCCACGCAATTTCCACTTCCCTCCCAAATCCACGTCGGGCACAGCCTTTATTACGGTTACCTCCGATGCCGTGAAACCCGCCGCCACGAGGAAAACAAAAAAGCCGGGGATCAAACCTCCGGCGGCACTTATAGCGGAGAAACCATTGGAGATTTCACCGTTACAGGCACCCGCGTCTGTTTCAGATACATTGCTACCAGTAGTACACCCGAGTTCGTTACAATGCGAGCCAGGGTATTTGATACCGAATTATCCACGTGGTAATATCGGCTACAAGTACCTGAAAGAAATATTGACATCAAAAGTGTATGAGGTAGCTGATGAGACGCCTCTGCAGCTTGCACCTAAGCTTTCAGAGAGGTTAGGGGTAAATTTGTGGCTCAAAAGAGAGGATCTACAGCCGGTACGCTTACGATTTTCTCTTTTTCATTTTTGCAGAATTGTAAAATATTTGTTAAAATTTGAAATTATGGTGTAATTTACAGTTTTCTTCCTGTTTTATTTGTTGAAGTTTGATAATTTTTTTATGTTAACTTGCAGTTCTCTTTCTGTTTCTTTGAGTGGATTTCTTTGGTAAAAGTCTATCCTTCTTTGTGAAACTCTATGGTCAGTCAAACTATGTCACATAAAATTGGGACGCGGGGAATCCTGCGTAATTGTCACAAAAACATTTTCTTGTGATCTGTTATTTTATACTTTTGATAGAATGATTCTAAGCTATTTGAGTTCGTCCCATTCCGTTATTATTATGCTTTAGATATTTGAAATTATCTAAGTTCTTATCCTCATTCAAAGAGGAAAGTGACTCTAACTCTATAATTTTTTTGGCTTTGATCTACACTTGTTAAAATTGGGGTGATTTGGGGTTGGAGAGGATTAATTACTGAGGAAAGAAAACAAGAAAACATGCAATGGCATTCTGGATATGTCTAATGAGAGCCTGCCTAGTTTCTTATTCAGATCATCTTTACATTTCTGTATCCTAGACCAAAGGAAGCAAGTTCATTAGTTTTTATGCATTCTGGATTTATCTAATTTTGTGTCTTTTGTCAATCCTCTCTAACTTTTGATTTAGAAAGTTTAATGCTTGTTCCTCTTCTATATTTCTTATGTTGTTGATACTTCCATCCAAAAAAAAGAGAGGAAGTTCTTGTAACTGGAAATACAAATCTTTTACATTGGAGTAGTCTCAGTAACATTGTCATACACTCATATTTACAGGTCTTCTCATTCAAGGTCAGAGGATCTTACCATATGATGGCAAAGCTCCCTAAGGAGCTGTTAGAAAAGGGGGTTATATGCTCATCAGCTGGAAATCATGCACAAGGTGTTGCATTAGCTGCCCAGAGACTTGGTTGCAATGCTGTGATTGTGATGCCTGTTACTACACCCGAAATTAAAGTTAGGATTGCTGAATGACTCTCTTGGTTTTTATAGCTTCCGTTTGAGTTCATCCTGTTATCATAATCCATTGTTTTAACTCCGTGTTCTTTTCTACTGTGCAGTGGAAATCAGTTGAGAGATTGGGTGCTACTGTTATTCGCAAGGGGGACACATATGATGAGGCTCAAGCATATGCGAAAGCTCAGGCCAAAGCAGAAGGCCGCACATTCGTCCCTCCTTTTGATCACCCAGATATTATAATAGGACAAGGTACAGTTGGAATGGAGATTAGTCGCCAATTCAAGGATGACATACACGCAATATTTGTACCAGTTGGTGGAGGGGGTCTTATAGCTGGAATTGCAGCCTATCTGAAAAAAGTTTCCCCTGATATAAAGATTATCGGTGTTGAGCCATTCGATTCAAATGCAATGGCATTGTCTTTGCACCATGGTCGAAGAATAATGCTGGAACAAGTTGGAGGTTTTGCAGATGCTGTAGCTATTAAAGTGATGGGAGAAGAAACTTTCCGTCTCTGCAGGGAATTATTAGATGGGGTGGTCCTAGTTGGTCGTGATGCTATATGTGCATCGATAAAGGTTAGTCAGACCTAATGTATTGCATGTTAGGTACTTTTATCCGCTAATCTTTGCCTCTTATTCTGAGGACCTAATCTTTCAATGCATGTACTACCTCTCAAAGAACCCAATCTCCAGAATGTGAGAGGAATAGTAAAAACTTGTCAGTTACCTCTCATTATGTGCACCTTAGAAATATATCTCTTCTCTCATTTTGTTTCTGCCTCTCGTGTGGTATCTGATAAAACAATGGAGCAGTGTTTCAAAGGAGAGCACGGGACATCACGTTGCAGAATTAATCCTTGCTAATTTTTTAAATATGAAGAATAAGAATAGCAAAAATATGAAAATTGATGGAAGAATGCTTGGAAACTATAGAAACTGTGAAGTTGCTAGTTCCTGTTTTGCGCCTGATTCACTGAAAACAACAAGCTTTCGTCTCATTTATGTGGAGCTTTGATGCCGCTTCAAAAATTATTTACACCATGTTGAGATATATCATTTGATCACCTTGCAGGTCTGTAGAATGCCCCTTGAGGAGACATAGAATTTATGTAGCCAAGTTATTCCTCATGAAAATCTCTCTTTCGTTGTGACATCTTTTATGTTGTAGGTCTATAATAATTGTCAACAAGACAGCTTTTTATTACGTGAGTTAGAAATCTTTTGAGTGAAAGTTCACTATTCTTTTGAATAGGACATGTTTGAAGAGAAAAGAAGCATACTGGAGCCTGCAGGTGCACTTGCTCTTGCTGGAGCAGAAGCGTATTGTAAGTATTATGGCCTGAAGGGTGAAAACATAGTAGCAATAACTAGTGGAGCCAATATGAATTTTGACAGACTTAGATTGGTAACTGAACTCGCGGATGTTGGTAGGCAGCTGGAAGCTGTTCTCGCTACTTATATGCCCGAACAGCCAGGGAGCTTCAGAAAGTTCTATAAGATGGTGGGAACAATTAGAGCACTTAATATGCATTTTTGATTACTGGTGTTTTTCTGTCTAATAGACTGAACCATTAACTTTCTGATTACAGGTGGGAAGGATGAATCTTACTGAATTGAAGTACAGATATAATTCTGAGAAAGAAAAAGCTAGAGTACTTTACAGGTAACATCCCCATGATCTTTTAAAGAGAATTTTAACTCATTTTGACGTTGATTTTATTATTTGTCAATGAGTTACTTTATACGTGAAGGGACATCTATGAATTAGAAGATAATTATAATGGCCAGTCTTATTCATCATTTATGGCTTTTTTCTTATGGCAGAGTTGGTCTTCACACTAAATTAGAACTTGAAGAAATGGTGGACAGGATGGAATCATCACAACTGCATACCATTAATTTTACAGATAACGAATTGGTCAAAGATCATCTAAGGCATCTGGTAATGTTTCAAGTCTTTCGTTATCATGTGAATCTAATTCTTAGAGCAAAACTGTAAATATGTGTGTTTGTCTCGTGATTAGTTATTCTATGTTTGTTTGAAAATTTTATAAGTAGTATGTTAAGATCCTTATTGACTTTACTACTAAATCAGTGATATTTAACTTCTCGTATGATTTTCTGAAGATGGGTTGCAGATCAACTGTTCACAATGAGCTTCTCTGTCGATTCATTTTTCCCGAGAGGCCTGGTGCTTTGATGAAGTTTTTAGATGCTTTTAGCCCTCGTTGGAATATTAGTTTGTTCCACTACCGTGCACAGGTACCTTTCCTGAATCTCATTCTTCTAGTTCCATTGTTTCCCTTTTTGGTACTTATCATGTCATCTTTCTGGTATTACTTTGTAGTAATTTTTTGGTTTTTTCCTATCTGCTTTAAGGGAGAAACTGGTGCAAATGTGTTAATCGGCATCCAAGTTCCACAGAGTGAGGTCGATGAGTTCAGGGCACGAGCTGACACTCTTGGTTATGAATATGTATTGGAGACTCTCAATGAGGCTTTCCAGTTACTAATGCATTGAAAAAGGTTGGAATACTAGGTGTACAGATTGGCTTGTGCTCAGTGGCGGAAACAAGAATTTCATCAAGATGTTCAGTAAAGTTGTTCTCGTGTTTAGGATATACAACAATTTATCTATATATATATATATCCGGCAAAGTGGGTTGTAACGTGGCTTCACCACTGCTTGTGCTGATATTGGCTAATCCCAGTGTTTGCTCAGGCCTAGCAAAGAAAAAACCACATTCTCTAGGAATTTTGATATGTTTATACAGATGAAATTTTGGTCCTTAAGAAAGTGACTTTCTCAAAGTTTTGAACAAAAACAAGATTATCTCATTGCGAATATAAACAGTATGCTTTAGCTTTTTATTCAAAATGATACTAGTCATAGGCTTTAATATCGAGCTCGAGAAGTGGACATACCTCGAGAAAAAATAGTGTTGCTTGAAGGTGTTAATGTTTGATTGAATTGAAAGGTGCATGCTTTTGCCTGATCAATGGTATTTTAAGTTGAGGATTCATGTCTTTTTCTGCCCCAAGGATTACCTTTCATATAATCAGCCATAAATGTGAACCGATCCTACAACCTTAAAAACCTGTATAATAACTCTGATGTTAAAAATTAACATGAACAAGAGAAATTATTGTCTTTGAATATGAATCACCCGTCCAGATTAACATAATTACTTTTCGGCACCTTGATTGAAATGTCGCAAATATTTTTTTTGGGGTATAAATTGGTTGCTAGAGAAGAGAACTATCTCAATCATCTCGATTTTTCCCTTCGGCGTGCATAGTTGTCTCCTTTGTTATGTAAAATATTAAACAAGTTTTTAACCAAATCAATTCTCCAACTGCTCTTCAAGAAATTCTTTTTTTCCTCTCTTCCCAGTTTTCATGCATTAGCGATTTACTTTTTACTTTCACATCCTTGAGCCAATGATCTATCGGTAACCTCTCTACTTTCAAAAGGTAGTGTAAGGTATATGTATATACAATCTTGGCTCCAGATCTCACTTGTGGGTAAGTTATTGGTGTTGTAGCGATTTACTTTTTACAACGAGAAACACAAGATATTGTGCTGGTGCAGGCAAGTTACGGTGAAAGGTGTTACTGATCCAGAAAAGTTGGGCGCTCTTCGAGTATTCCGTGACTGCCTGCCTACCTTTTTGTCTTCGTGTTGCACAATAACTGCAACAATTCACTCTTTCTGAAGTTTACTTCCCTCTCATACGAATATTACCAATTTATGCTTTACTTTATTATAATCTTCTCATAGCTTATAAACTAAACGACTACTCACTGTACCTCTCCTGTGTTTCCTAATCAACCCCCTTATCCCTCCTCTTCCTAGAAATAGTGAAATACACAGAGAGTCTAAGAGAGAGAGCCAATTCCCCTGCTATTTGGCTAAGTTATTACTACAAGATCTGCTTTGCCTGCTGGTTGTGGTACTATTACTACAAACAGTCTTACACAAGCTACAGTTGCAGCCATTTGAATAGATCTACTACTACTTTTTTCTGTCTTTTCATAGGTAATTATTTGTTTATCACCACCATTTGCCTCGATCTTGTAAACCCCATCTTAGAATCAGCAAGTCTCCTCTCTCTGTTCTTTACTTTTCTCCCCATTCCTCTTTCAATATCTCCCCATTTCTTTGTTCTTAAGCTGAATTCTCTTCAACTCTCCTTTCTATACTTGAAGAACTCACAACCCAAATCCAACTCTTGAACATTTAATTAACTCATAATTTTACAGCCTCACTGATAAAAGCTCCATTTTTGGTTTAGAGTATTGAATGATGGCAAAGAAACACTTGCATGAGCTTTTAAAAGAAGATCAAGAGCCATTTCATATAAACCATTACACTGCCAACAAGACGTTTTCAGCTCAAAAGACTCAAATTTTCTTCTCCTAAATCCTCAATACAACTCAAGAAACAACACCCTATTACTCAAACCTCAACTTCTACTTCTATCTCCAAAAGTACATTTTGCAAATATGCTAATTGTTTTTTCTCCTTTCATGACTCATCGGACGTCAAGAAATCCCCTTTCAATTTACTGTCGCCGGCGCCGGCGAAGAGCCCCCAAAACGGAAGAACTGCTACTTTACTTCTTGAAGCTGCAATGAGGATTCAAAAACAACAAAGTGCAGAACCAAATACACAAATCAAGAAAATAAAGTTTGGGTATTTTAGGTCCATTTTGAAGAGACTCAAGGATCGAAATAGCGATAAAAAGAGTGAGCTAAAGAATGGTGAAAATAGCAATAACATTAGCGGTGTTTTTTGGTCAGAAAGAAATGAAGAGAAGTCCAAAGATTTTGAGCCTTGTAGCAGTACTGGTGATTTTGGTACATGTGATAGACGCTATTGTTCAAGTCCTTTTAGATTTTCTCTTCAAAGATGCCCGTCCTCCGGTTATGTAAAGCCGGATTTCTTATCTCCGGCAGCTTCTCCGATTAATCACAAGAAAGAGGTTTGTCTTTTTTACTTTTGTCAGTAATTATCGGTGGGTCATTATGACTCAGAATATCATAGTTAAGTTATGCTTTATTGACAGTGTATGAATTTGAACATAATAACAATATGATTAATTTAAAAGTAATACCTATGTGATAGTCTCTTAAATTGTATGCTAATATAAAATTAGAGCAAAGTATTCTGTATTCACACAGTAAGGGTCGCACCACATGGGATGTGATGAGGCAAACAGTCTGTCATAATACAAACATTAATAGCTGCATTCACGGCTCAAACCCGTAACGTTACATGGAGGGAACTTTACCATTGCTCCAAAGTTCCCTTTCATGTTATCTAATAGTATATACTTATAGCTTAAAATTACAATTACCCTTCATTGACAGCATGAAGAATCCTTAAACTATTAAATCACTTAGGTAAATTACAAGTAACTTTATATAATATAAGATGACAAATAACTTGATAAAGTTGGTAAATTATGGTGATAGTATAAAAAAAACACATTAACATGGTCAGTTGACTCAATTCTAAGTTAAATGTACATTAAAAAGTGTCACAAAATTACGAGGAGAAATGTGTCATTTTACTATATAAAAACAAATTACTGTTTATTTTGGTAAGTGTACTTTTGATCACGCCTCTGCCATTAAAATCTTTTTATGATATCTTAATAAAACAGTTCTTTCCAGAAAAGGACAAAATAGTTTTATATTTTGGATCCAGAAAAAGACAAACTTTCATTAACCATCTTGTCGTGTATTTGTGCACGAATATTTACTTGCCTGGAATAAAAGTCACCCACCAGCTTCATGCTTCATAGTAATATTAAAGACTTTAAAGTTAACTTTTATATAGTAGAATAATTTTACATTATTTATTTGATAACCGAGGTATCAATCAGTTTGTGTTGCACTTGGTAATTTTGTCCCCTAAATTTTAAATAGATAAAAAGAAATTACTGGTTTTATCCATAATTCTCTACCCTTCATTGATCAATAGATCACACCCGGGGTGCAAATATTTACATTATTACGTCAACTATGTGCAAGTGCCCATAAGAAATAAACTAGTAACCTAAAAAACAAAGTAAGTTATCTACTATCGCAAGTTAAAATATACTAATTATAGCATAAAAATTATTTATATTTACAGTGTATATATAAATTAAATTCAAAATTAAAGGCAAGTCAACTTAATAAATAAAGCACTGAATTGTTTTTGAATTTCATTAGTGTAACTCTCAATTCCTAACTAGTTAGGCCTAGTTATAATATATTAGGACAATGATAGTTTTCGGCTAAATTGGAATTTTAACCTTTTTTGTTTAGGACAAAAACTATGAAACAATAGCCTTGGCAAGTGTAGATGCGAAAGAGCAATGCAGTCCAACTTCTGTATTGGATCCTCCATTTGAGGAGGATGATCAAGCTGATGGACATGAATGTAAGGACGACGACGACGACGAGGATTGTGATCTTGAATGCAGTTATGCACTTGTACAAAGTACGTAAATTCGTATCTATTTTCTTGATTTTTTTAATTTTTCCTTAATATAAATTTGCCAATCTCTGGTAACTTGAATACTCTTTAAAAAGTTTGTGATTATTCTATATATGTGGTATTGTGTTCTCACTTCTCACAGGAGCTCAGCAGCAGCTTTTATATAAGCTTCGTAGGTTCGAAAAACTAGCAGAGTTAAATCCAATTGAACTTGAGAAACTAATGCTGGACGCAGATGACAATGATGATCTAGTAGAGGAAGAGGAATATCAAGATTCAGACCTGATTTCTGAGAAGTTTGAAGTTAAAAGCTTGAACTGTGGAAGAGAATGCAAGAGGTTTGATTCATGGCAAGAAGTAACATCAAATACCATTGACATGATGTTGGAATTGGACTTGAGAAGTGAGTCTGATGAATGGAATAAGTTGCAGAAGCAAAGAGAAGAAACTGCAATAGAATTTGCTTTTTCTATATTTGGATTATTAGTAGAGGAATTAGGAGAGGAGCTTAGTTCACTTAGCTGTATTCCATGGGAACCACAATAATGTTTTTGGATTAATTCACACCTAATTTTTCATCTTAAATCAAGGTGGATTTTTTTTTTTTGGTAACTAAATCTTTCATTAATCACCAGTATAAAAAGTTACAAACCCATAGCTTAGCTTAAACATAGCTAGCTATCTAAAAAAGACAAAACACCAACAACCAATAACATAGTATACTACATTCTAAAATATTCTTAGAAAATACAGTGTTGTAGCATAGCTCTAATTCCTGGAGTACATAGCTCGGACATTGCAGACATAAGCAATCTGCTTGGCAATGCTCTCCAAATTGGTACTCTGCTTCTCAAATATTCGATGGTTTCTCTCCATCCGAATGCCATGGATACACTCGGCATACACCATCTTATATGCTTGAGCTGCTTGAGTTCTTCCCTTGGAATTCTTGATTGCCCATTCGACAAATTGTTCCCAGTGCATAGGAAGTACTGGACCTCTCTGTAACCATTGCATCAGTGTTGGCCCAAGTGAAGTTTGTTTTGATGAATGACAAAGGAACTCAACCATGTCCATACACAGTGTACATAGACACGGGTAGATTCAAGCACAAGGCATATAAGTGAATGAGATAAGCTTAAGTGGTTATATCTGATATTTCCTGAACGAAAAGGTTGCATAAGTGATAAGAATAAGGACTCCTTACTCGAAGAGAACTCTATCCTAGATAAGGGAGGAGTTAGAAATTGAAGATAACTAGAACTCTTCCACCAAGGAAGAGTAAAGCATTAGAACTCTAGTTATTTTATATTCTACTAACTCTATATATTGCAGGATGTTCTCATTTTATAAGTACGCACAAACGCTGAAGTTAAACGTGAGTTGAGAGCAAAATAGCAAGGCATTTTGCAAGCAATTCTTGTGTGATTCAAGTATGCGAACTTGAAGCTACATGAACCAGATAGAAGAACCAGTTCAAGTGTCTGTTTTTTATTCTAGTTTCATTGTAGTAGGGCTTTTGAGTTGTACCTTTCAACTTTATCTAGAAGTAATTGTACTAGGTACTCTGAGTGATGTGTTCAAGTTAGAGTTAACTTGAAGTTGTCGCAACAACTAAAGGCTGGTTGCCACAAAGGGTTAGAGGTAATCCTTAGGTTTACAAAGAGTTTTGTAAATGCTGTTTTGGCTCAGTGATTTAGTGAAGTGTTAAAAAAAATCGTACTTGGTAGTAGGTCGTGATTTTTTTCACCTTTTGAGCCAGGTATTTTTCATGTAAAAATACTTGTGTTCTTTACTTTCTGCATTTATTATTCCGCAACAGTAGTATAAGGAACACATAGAAGAACCATGTTCTTCTATAATCTGTATACGGGAAAAATCAGACATCACACAAATCACCCCTCCCTCTTGTGTGGTATTAAAGTACAAAACATCAATTGGTATCAGAACAGGGTATCCTTGAAGAGGCTAACACCTTAGGAGAAGATCAAAATGAGTGCACCACATGCAAACTGGAAAGAACAATCCATTGCTAGGCCACCACTCTTTAATGGCCAGTACTAGTCTTGGTGGAAGAACTGAATGCGAGATCACATTCAAGAAAAAGGACTGTGAGTTATGGGACATTGTCACTGATGGTCCACTGGCTACATTGAAGAAAAATGTTGAAGGAGTAGATGTGTCAAAGACAAGAGTGGATTGCACTGCTAAGAACTTGAAGAAATGGGAGAAGAATGCTAAAGCCAAGAAATGGCTTATTTGCGGGCTTGGTCCAGATGAGTACAGCAGAATCTAAGGTTGTGCAACCGCTAAGAAAATTTGGGACACACTACAGGTGGCTCATGAAGGAACTACTCAAGTGAAGAGATCTATAGGAACTCTATTGTACTCTCAGTATGAGAACTTTGCTATGAAGGATGGAGGGACCATTCAAGAGATGTATACAAGATTCACTACACTGACAAATGAACTAAAATTTCTTGGAAGAATTATTCCTGAAGAAGAGAGGGTTGAGAAGATACTTACTATGGTATTGCCAATCACTTGGGAAAGCAAGATCACTGCCATCCAAGAATCAAAGAACATTGCTACTCTCCCACTAGATGAATTGATTGGAAATCTCACTTCCTATGAACTTAGAAGACAACCCAAGAAGATGGATGTACCTAAGAAGGAAAGAAGCTTGGCACTCAGAATCACTGAAGGTTCTAATTTGGAAGATGATGAAATGTCTATGATCACCAAAGACTTCAAGAAATACCCGAGAAGAGAAAAAGGTTCTTCAAGAAGTAGAAGCTATAGCAAGGCAAAAGCTCCGGAGAAACACACTAATGATAACTGCTATAAGTGTGAAAAGCCCGATCATCACATCAAAAACTGTCCTTTATGGGAAATTAAATGGAAGAAGGAAAGAGCTGAACGAAGGAACAAAAAGAAGGAATATGTTCAACCCAAGAAAAGCAACAACAAAGAATCAACCAAGGCTATGGTCGCTGCTTGGGGAGAAAGCTCATATGAAAGCTCAGATGATGATGAGAATGAACGAGCAGTTATGGCCATGGGAGAATCTGATGAAGAAACTGAGGTAAGCATACTTCATCTCAAAGACAAGATTAAAATTTTGTTTAAAGAATGGTTATCTGAGTTACTACTAGAACTAATTGATGAATCTGAGGATGTAAATAACGAAAAGGAACAACTGTCTAATGAATGTGTGATTTTGAAGGCTAAGTACAAAAACCTGAAACTTAGGTTAGTGAAACTGTAAGTGAAAATACTGTCTTTAAGAACCATGTTCATGCACTTGACTCAACCGTCCTAGACCTTAGATATGAAAATCTAAAATTGAAACTAGGAATATGCAAAAAGACAGTTGGTCACACACAACTCACTTTAGAAGAAAATGTAGGAAAAATGAAAGATGAGTTGTACAAGAAAGATGAACATGTAAGAATTCTAAAGGAGGATCTAAGCAAGTTCAAGCATGAGCTAGATAGAACTTGTAAATGGAACAGGTCCCCTGATGTACTTTCATGGCTACAAGAACACCATAGTAGCAACAGAAGAGGACTTGGCTTTGGGAACCCTGCACCTAAGTGGGATCCCAAAAAAAAGTATCTCACACTTCCTGAGAATAAGATTTGCACATACTGTGGTAACACTAGTCACTATAAAAGTGAATGCACTGCAAAAGAAAAGGTAAAACAAAAGAACAAAGATTTTGTTCAAGAGAAAAATAGGGTGCCAAGTTGGGCTAAAAAGAATTTGATTTACCTTTTTGCCTATAGAAAGGGACCCAAACTAGTTTGGGTTCCTAAGTCTAACCCTTGATTTCCTTTTGTAGGTCCAAGTGAAGGGAAGCGGCCAAATATGGTACATGGATAGTGGCTGCTCAAAGCATATGACAGAAAGCAAGAACCAGTTTCTTTCACTTGAGGACCTTAAAGGAGGTAATGTCTCCTTTGGAAATGGGAAGAAATGTGAGATCATTGGGGTTGGAAAGGTAGGTAAGACTGATTCACTCTATTGAGAATATCTACTTAATAGATGGACTGAAGTAGAATCTAATAAGTGTATCATAACTGTATGATAGAGGTAACATGGTAGCATTCACCTCTACAAAATGCTTTGTGATTAATCCGACAAGATAGTTTTACAGGGAAAAAGAGTGAACAACATATATGTTGTGGATCTGTCCACACTTTCAGATAATAAACTCACTTGCTTAAGTGTGTTGGATAATGATCCCCTCCTTTGGCACAAGAGACTTGGACATCCAGTCTAAGTCAACTCAACAAACTAGTTTCCAAGGACTTGATGATAGGGCTTCCTAACATTAAGTTCAAGGAAGATAAAGTTTGTGAGGCTTGTGCAAGGGGAAGCAGGTAAGATCCTCTTTCAAAAGCAAGAAAATGGTAAGCACCACCAAGACGATGGAATTGGTCCATATGGATCTTTGTGGTCCAATGAGAACACTGAGCAGGGGTGGTAAGAGATATGTTACGGTGCTTGCTGATGATTACTCTAGGTTTACTTAGACATTGTTTTTAACATATAAAGACGAAGCATTTGATACATTCACTTCTTTTGTTAGAAAAACTCAGAAACAACTAGGTAATCAACTTGCATCAATTAGGTCTGATCATGGTACTGAATTTGAAAATGCTAAATTTGCTTAATTTTATGATGAGCATGGCATAAATCATAATTTTTCTACTCCTAGGACTCCATAACAAAATGGAGTAGTTGAAAGAAAGAATAGGACATTGGAAGAAATGGCTAGGACTATGCTTCTTTCTAGTAAATTGCCCCATAGTTTCTGGGCAGAAGTTGTGAACACTGCATGCTACATTATAAATAGGTACATGACTAGACCTCTTGTTGAGAAGACTCCCTATGAGTTACTTAAAGGGAGAAAACCAAATATATCCCATCTTAGGGCATTTGGATGCAAGTGATTTGTGCACAATAATGGTAAAGACTCCCTAGGTAAGTTTGATCTCAGAAGTGATGAGGGAGTATTCTAGGGATATTCTTCACATAGTAAAGCTTATAAGATTTATAACAAAAGAACTATGTGTGTAGAAGAAAATGTACATGTGGTTTTTGACGAAACTAACATTCTTTCTGATAGGAAGGAACATGATGATGAAGCAATTGGGCTGGTAAGAAACTCAATTGAAATCACAGCCCAGACTGAAGCTGCACCAGAGGAAGGAACATGTGATGGAACAGGTCCTTCCACCCAGGGCAACCTGACATGGGGAACTGAACAAAGAGGAACTGATCCTCAAACCTCGAGGGAACCTATCCATGAACCTTTTCCTCAACAACAAAATATTGAAGGAACATCTAAGGAAAACCAGTTGGTTGTGAAACCTTACAAGTATCAAAGTCCTCATCCAATTGAGAACATAATTACTGATCCAACCTCTGGAATCAAAACCAGATCTTCTTTGAAGAATCTTTGAGATTTTGATGTTTTTTATCTCTTATTTAACCTAAAAATGTTCCTGAGTCTTTGTAGGATACAGACTGGGTGAATGCAATATAAGATGAACTCAACCAATTTGAAAGAAGTCAAGTTT